TGGTTAAACTGCAGATAACCGGCGCGCGTCAGCGCTACGTGACGCAGCTTCATTATTTAAGTAATTACCTTGAAAGTTCCGATTCCGGCTCGTGTTCACGTGTTATCCGATATTTCCGAAGTTACATCGTGCACCGTTGTAATTCCTGCGACGCACGTGGTAGATTCATTTATTATTTAGAAATTATTCTCTCGAGAGCAGAGCGTACGCGTGCATTAAACAAATTCGTCGCGACGCGCACGGTAATGTCTCTCTAATTGACGCTTATATCGTACACGAAAATGGGCAATTTGGGAAGAGGAGACACGATTAATATCAAGCACTTATATTATACTTAAAAGTATTATTATTATTAAGTGTTATTATTTGAAAAGTGTCGTACAAATTTCCTCGATCGGAGTAGAAATCGCAAGGTATAGTAATATCTCCCTAATTGACGCTCAGATTGTGCAAGAAAATGAACAATTTGGGAAGAAGAGACATGATTTTTCGAGCCTTGCAACTCGTTTTTTATAGTATTGTTGAAAGTTCGTTCGAATAATCGTATCTCCTCTTCCAAAATTGTCCATTTTTCTGCAGAATCTGAGCGTCAGTTAGGGAGACATTACTGTAATTCCGTGTGTCGCGGCCGCGAAGAATTTCCAGATAAACGGGCCGCTAGTATCCCGTACGTATATTTTGAATTGCATCGAAACGCTAACCCTTAAATATCTCAATTTAAGTATACACATGGACTTAGGCCACTTTCAAAATAAACGGCTCACATAATTTAACCGAATTTCAGAATCTCTGTGTTCATCGATGCCAAGTTTCGTACGATATTCCACAACGTTCGAAAGTTCTCCGCTCTTTCGCAGCGGTGAAAGAGTACTAAACGAAAATCCAAAAACTCGCTGATCGGAGCCACGAGTTCGAGTTACAAGTTTCCAGGACAAGTTAGCCCACTTCCAGAGAAATGTTATCTTAGCTCGAAGTAGTTACACCTTCAACATCGCCGCCATTCATTTCGACAGAACCTTCAATACGTCCCATTTCGAATGTCGTGCCCGTCCGAAGATCCTGCTCCATCCCCCTTGCTTCCTGACAACAGCGGTAAACTTCCTGCATCGGCGCAACGATCCCGTCGACTCTTCGATAAGAGTCTCCATAAATGATATTTGATTTTCGAAAATTGATTTCGCCGAGTTACGAGCAATTAGAACCAACCGTCTTCAGACTCGAAACATTTCGAACAACTTTCAAACTAGAGTAATGTCTCCCTAATTGACGCTAGGATTGTCCACGAAAATGGACAGTTAGGGAAGAGGAGATACGATTTTTATTCGAGCCCTGCGATTTGTTTTTACAGTTACGAATCGTCGAGAATTATAAAATCGAGCCGCGATGAGCTCGAATAATCGTATCTCCTCTTCCCAAACTGTCCATTTTCTCTGCGCAATCTGAGCGACAGTTAGGGAGACATTACTGTAACTCGTCAAAAAGTTAAATTGGAGTTGCATTCGTTAGGTATTGTATTATTTTCAAAACGATGTTAAAAGTTTCTTCGAGAGTTCAGTAATGTCTCTCTAATTGACGCTCGGATTGTCCAACAAAATAGACAGTTAGGGAAGAGGGGATACGATTATTCGAGCCTTTCATCTCATTTTTATAATTGTTGATAATCAGCAACTATAAAAACGAACCGCAAGGCTCGAACAATCGTATCTCCTCTTCCAAAATTGTCCATTTTTTATGCGATCATCGATCTGAGCGTCAGTTAGGGAGCCATTACTGCGCATAAAAGAATTATAGTGTGTCTAATATACTAATAGGCAAAATATAATAATTCGCAAAAATCTGAAATAAAAGCAAGAACAAACTTCGAAGGGTTAAACAGGTCCCAATTAAACAACGCAGTAAAGCATCAAAAATCATCCCACGATCGTTTCGCATTATTATTCACGAAACTACCCTAACCGCGATGTTCCAAAGAAAGTTGCGCCCTTAACGTCGAAGCCTCGCAGCTCCGTCAACATCGACGAACAAATTGAAAAGTTTCCGAAAACGAACTTCGGCGAAAGAAAAACTCTCCGGTCGAAAAAAATTCACGCGCTCGTAAGAAAAATTCATGCGTCCCGGAAAGACATGAACCGCGAGCCTAACTTTCCCGTGACAGGATTACGCTCGAAGAAGAAAAAATATGCGACAGGACCGATGCATCAGCCGAATAATCGGTGGAAAACTTTTTATCCAGATTTCCTGAGGGACCCGCGGCAATTTTCGCGACGTTGCACAGTGGGCCGAATCGAAGATTTTAGTGACTTTTTGACAAGAACCTAATTTTCTCATATCGATGTCCAGTCAATTTTTATCACTTGTTAAATGTCCATTACCCTCGAAAGTGAAAATATTAATAAAAATGATCGTAAGTTGTAACAGATACGACAATTTAAAGTTGAACATTTTGAACGCTACATTTGACGCCAAAAAATATGCTTATTTTTCTCGCAATGTCCCGACGAATCTAATTAACATTTTCCTTTTCTTTCTTTTTTAACATTAGGAGGCAATATTTCTCGTTAGGAAACAGTAGCTTAAATTAATATTATCGTATCCTATATATGAAAAATATAATGTTTAATAAAATACAAAAAGTGCAAAAATTCTCTACATTTGACAAGTAACATCTTTTGACACTCGAGGAATCACGGTTTTGGACAAACGGTATATTTTCAGGATACTTTCCTCTACATAATTCTGTAAAAGTTACAAACCAGAACGAACCAGATTGAAAATTATTACGTTTCAAAGATATCAACGTTACGTTACTTCGAGGTCAAAGATATCGAAGATAATCTCTCTGTGTTCCAGTCGGTATTACAGAACGCTTCTTCGTCTGTAAATAATCGACAGATATTTAAAATTTTTAATTATTCCATATAACATGAAAAATATAAGTAAACGAAACAAACTTTGTAACATTACAATACTAACGTACCTGGAATTACTAGCGGGTCCTCGTAACCAGTGTGGGTGCAATAAAGTACGCGTCCCAGAAAAAGTTCTCTGTATGCATTTTATGTAGTTGATAAATTTCAACAGTTAGAAGTTTTGATAAAATGTAGAGTACGTTAATTAATCTTACCATTTTGTTATTGTTTCAATAAATCTGCAGCTTCAGGATTTAATGCATACAGAGACCTTTTTCTGGGACGCGCACTTTATTGCACCCACACTGGTCACGAGGATCCACTAGTAATTCCAGGTACGTTACTATTGCAATGTTACAAATAGTTTGTAACATTATATTTAAACAATTTTCTTTTCCACAAAAAATGTCAATGAAAATTAATTAAAAATTATTGTTTAACAAATGCAAAAAATATTTAATTATCTATAGCTGAAAA